GACCATCCATTGGCTTTTATTTCCTGGTTAGAACTAACAGGGTTTCCCTGCCAGCATGCAGTATATGATTTGCATCTTTATTCGGGGTTCCAGCACCTGAGCGTGGGAAGACTCAAAGCCCATTTTCTCATTCCTGCACAGGGTTCTGCACCCCATGACTCTGTCATGGACTAAAAAGGGGCTTCATCTCAGTGCATCAGGCTGGTGCAGGAAGGTGCAATCTGGATCTCTCTGCATTGGCTGGGGTGAAGATGAGGGGTGACGTATGAAACACAGGTCTAGCCTATTCCATATCACATGCACACCATTCAGTAAATAGAATAATTATTTTTAAATTACATCTACACTGCCAGCATACAAATAGATGTAGAATTTTAGATGATAATCAATTAGCACACAGTGAGTGAAGGCTACACTGAAATTTCAAGCACTCTGCCCCAGAACAGGCAAATATTCTATGGTGTTACCGGAAGTTGCAAATTCCTCTTAAAGAGCTGCCAAATGCAGGAAGGGGGTACAAGCTGTTTAAGAAGCTGGTGAAAGGATTTCTGAAACCGACCAGTGAGGAAACCTACGTAAATCAGCTGCAGAAGATAATCAGCACAACTCCACTCGGCGAAGGTTCAGACAGGTGAACCAACATGTGGAATACCAGAAGGGCAAGTCAGGCTTGGCACAAAGTGCTATTGGACCACATCAGGGGGCCGGCTGGTGAACAGGCCCAAATAGAGAAAGAAACAAAGAGCAGGAGTGAGCTGTGGAAGAGAGCGATGTTAGCCCGGGAACAGAAAGTACAACGGCACATTGCACCAAAACACTGGAATTAACATCAAAGCAATAGAGGAGCAAATGAGCATACGGCATGCATGTTAATGAAGCTGCTACACTCATCGGGAAGGATGCCTCACTAGGGGCGCAGCGTTGCCAGCGCTCATGATTTTATCATGAGTCTCACAATATTGGAGGCTTTCTAAAAGCTCCAGCTCCTGGAATTCTGGGGTGTCATGAGAATTGCAGCTTTTATTTAGTTCATTTTTAAGTGTGTTTCTCGCCCCCATGTGTGTGCAGAAAACTTGGAATTGTGACCTGCATGCACCCTAAAGGCTCAATAACTAAAAGGCAGATAAAGAGAACCCATACTGTATTATTTTTAAAAAAAACCTCTCCATTTTTAAGCCAACCATGTTGCGGGGGTGGGGTAATGGGGGAGCTGATTCATGCTATTTTGTAGACTTGGGGGTTGACAATACTGGGTCTGTGTGAAATATCTGTAACAAAATACAAGCTTACTGAAAATTCAAGGGCCTGATTCACGCTTGCACCAGTTTTGCACCAGTTTTACACCAGTATAATGGCATTGATTTCAGTGGTGCTATCCATTGTCATAGGGCGTAGTGCCCCTTTAAAGGCATATCCTGTTCCAAGGTTTGACTCCTTTAAAGCCAAGAATTCTGGGAGTTGTAGTCCTTGGAAGGAGCACATGACTAAAAGGAAGCACTTGACTGCATGGGGTCATGTGGCTGCAGACTGAAAGCAAGGCCTGCTATAAAAGAAGCAGCTTCCATTTAGTAGGGTGCAGAGCAGGGTTGAGGGGAAAGTCTAGAGGGTGGGTTGCAGGGCTCCTCACACAGGTTTGAGGAGAAGCTGCAGTTTGGTAGAGGACTGCAGGAAAAAAAGGGCTGACCTCTGTGGTTATTGCAACAGGCAGCCCTGAAAAAACAAGGTAGTTTTGAGATGAGAGAATGCAGCGGCTCTGTGAGCTCGGGTCCCCAGGCTAGTACCTGGAGAAGGGAGGGCATGAGCCACTCCCTTTGCCCTGATACTACCACAGAGCTGGGGAACTCCTATAGACAAGAGGAAGGACTTAGTTTGGGTAGCATTACTGATTGTTGTCAGTCTTGTTCTGGGACTCTCATGCCACAGCAGCTGGGAAGCTTTGAGCTAAGCTGGAGCAAAACTAACTGCCTGGAAAGAGGGGTGGAAACTGAAGCAGGGATGAAGGCATTCAACTTTCAGTTATGCAGGTGCACATCCCACCTGGCTTTGCATCTGAATTATTGAGATTTACTGAATTACTTAGAATTATTGGGAACCAGTGCCAATAATTTTTTTTTTTAGCATCTTGTTGCACACTGTCAATGTTTAGTGAAATTTTCCATGAAAATGGGTCTGAAGTCAGCACACTTTTCAAAAAAGATCAGGAGATTTTCCAGCTGATTTTTCAAATATTCTGATTGAAAAAGAGCTAAAGTGGGCCTATTCAAGCAAAGGTGGCATTCATTTCCATTAGAAACAGATTTCTTTTTTATGCTAAAATACCCATTTCACCAAAATTGTGAATAAAACTAACTTTTGGATTTGTGAATTTTCATACAACAAAATGCTACTGTGTGTGTGAAATTCTGTAAAGCAAAAGATATGTATTTCTGAGAGGAGGAAGGTTGTTTTGTGAATAAAGCACTAGAATGGGAGCCAGGAGATCTGGATTCAACTTGTAGCTCATGCACAGACTTCCTGGAAGTGTGACTTTGAGCAAATGACTTCTCTCTCCCTGCCTCAGCTGGAGATAGTGATACTCACCTACTGCACAGAGATCTTGGGTTCATTTAACAAGATGCCCAGTAATGGGCTGTATAGGTAGAGCTCTATGCCATCCTGCTACTCGTATTACGTGAATAAGGAAGAGCAGATACAGCAGGCTGGGGAAAGAATAGCCAGACAAGACCCTTGAAGTGGTGCAGATGTTCTGGTGCTCCTCCCAATTTACAGTGGTTGAGAGGAGGGATAGAACCTTTCATCCCAGGATACCCACCAACTAACTGCATCTCACAGCATCCATGCAAGGGAAGTATTATTATCCCCACTAATAGGTTAGAACAAATTCAGCCCTGGTGTGACCTTCTGTGGCAGTGAACTTGGCCCAAACAGTTTAAGTGACTGCCTCTAGAATACAAACTAAGGAAATCAGACCCTGATTTACACCTCATGCTTAGAATGTAAATTGTCTGGGACAGGACTATGTCATCATATGTTTCTATAAGGCACCTAACACAGCAGACCTCCACCTGATTTGAGGCTTCTAGGCTCTAGAGAGGTTCTAAGAACTAACACACAACCCCATTGCCTGTGTAAATCAGGGCAAGGCAGCCAGATTCCCTTGCCACTAGACAGCCCATGGGCTTGGAAGATCTAGTCTTGTAATTCCTGGTTTGTTACAGGATCCGCTGAGCTCATGCCATGGACAAGATGCTCTGTGTGTTCTTTGGCAGTGCTGGCACTGGTGTTTAAAAACACTGTAGCACTTAACTGACAACCGTGTTGCTCTACCATAGGTTTTCCCAGTGATCCTGGCCATAAAAGCAGCAGATAGAGTTGCATGGCCCATGAAATCAAGCTTGACTGATAAGCCATAGACTCGGTAGGAGCAGGACCTAGAATGCGGCTGTTGCTATTAACTTTCATTCCTGTGATTTTTACTTAGGTCATTACATGTGAGATTAAAACTCCTTTATCCCAGATGAGTAGCCTATGGCAACAGGCTGGGAAGATGAAATTTCCCCCACGGTACATAAAACATGAATTAAAAGAGCAAAAGTGTTAAAAATTGAAAAGGTGAGGGGGTAGAGGCACTATCTGAGCAAAGATCAGCATGGCCTTTTCTCATTGCATGATGAAGCAGGTCTTCGGGAGGCAGAGAAATAAAATCCGTAGTTAAAATGTTTGTAGCACAACCAAGTTGATTCTTCTTCGTAAGCTCCTACGGAGACTCTCACTAAAAATGATCCTTCCACTGAGGCCCTCCTACACTGCAGAAACTTTTTTTCAAAAACAAAAATACGCCCTCCATCGTCCCTTCCTGTTCTGGAGGTATGCAGTACTGCAGTGCAGCTGGTGACCTGGCAGCGAACTGAAATGTGCCTAGACAGCGTTGTCAGAAGCTTTTACTTGTGTTCTGCTAAACGTAGCTCCATTATTAAAGCCTCTTGTGAAATGGTAGTGCAGTGAAAATGAAATCCCTCTGGCCTTGCCCTATAACTTTTGGAACAAGATATTTTTCCAGGCTTCTTTACTTTGTGTTACAGTTTAATGTATTCAATCAGTTGCAACTGACGTATGAAGTGAAGTAGCCCAGCCCGCTGCCCACAGAAAATACACTGAGCTTTGCCATGCAATGTTGTTTGCTTTGTGCGGTATGCAGAGCAACATAAATTAATTCAAAAGCATCCAGCAAAGTGCCCTAAAACCTGAAATCTAAAGGTAAAAAGAGTCAGAAAGCTAAAGACTTAATGAGGAGCCAACTTTTCTCATCACAACCCACATTTTTTTTAAAAAAGTCTCCTATGGGAGTGGTAATGGAATATGGAGCCCTGCCATGCTAAATCACCAATTGGAATCCCACCCAGGAGTGTAGATGAGCAAATGTGGTCAGCCTCTTGAGAGTCTTTGGCCACCTATCTGAAGTTATTTGTGGTCCTGGTACAGTTTCTAGTGGATGGGTGTCTATGTCACAAAACCCGCCACCATCTTTGGCACCCTTGCTGATATTCACATTAAAGAGGTATTGGATGTTGTTATGGCTTTGTTTGATAGATTAAAGAGCCCCGTGCTATCAGATATTGCTTACACAGGGAGATGCTATCTGATCTAAGAGGGCTCTTTCATCTGGGTATATCAAGATCCAAAGGGCTAGAAATTGAAGCGAGACAAATTCAAGGCCCACATTTTTAGTAGAAAGGATAATTAACTCTTGGAACACCTTTCCTAAGGATGTGGTGCATTTTCCCTCACTTGAAGTCTTAAAATCAAGACTGGATATCTTTCTAAAAATGATGCTGTCCTTCAACCACAAGGTATTGGGTTTGATGGAGGAATTACCTGGTAGAATTCTGTGATCTGTGCTAGTCAGGAGGTCCCGCCAAATGCCAGTATGCCCTGCTGGCCTTAAAAATCTGTGGGTGAAATCCTGGCCTCATTGAGTCTGTGGCTAGAGACTAACCTACCTCTCTTCCACTTCTACAGAGAATCCCAGAAATGGCTGGATGGTAGAACAAAGCAGAGCGCTGACCCTGTGCTTGACTTGTTCTGTAGATCAAAAGAAGTTTTCAGTTGTTTCGGTTGTTTCAGTTGTTTCACATCAATTACCCACCTTTCATCGGTAGTAAATTCACCTGAACAAAATGGAAGATATTCTGTAATTCCATTTGTTAGAAAATCCAAGCACAGTTTTAAAGCTTCCTCACTGGCCTGGGGATGTATTCCACAACGCCCCGTCTCACACTGTGAAATGGCCCTGTGGTCTTGGTTGACCCTGGTACATTTGCCTGCATTTTTACAGAACTTCCCACTGGCAAATTTATTCTAATACAGGATGCCATATAAATACCAGGTTAACTGACATTTTGTTACATAAAACCTTTGCTTTGATCAGCCCCCTTCCCTGCATTAAATGTTTTTTTTTTCCTACAGCTAAACCAGTTCTCTGTGTGAGTCAAGCCAAGTGCTTCTATGCTTCTTCCCTTCCTCTATCCTCCACATACCATGCTTCTGATCAGATGCGAAAAGATTGCCCTTGGGGGCTCACGACCTCAAAAGCAGCTCAATCTGATGTCCTCCATATCCATGTGGATTAGATTTGGTTCACTCCCTTAAAAAGGTTCCTGACCCCCCTGTTTTAGTAAAATAGCTAGCCTATCTTAGACCAGCTAGATCAGGGGTCGCCACCATTTTCTGAACCATAGTACATCTCTAGTTCAAACGCAGAGTGAAGGGATGCTGGAAAGTCACTGACCTTTAGGTTTTATAAAGCTCTCTGAACAGACATTATTTTAGACAAAATATTTCATCTCTGAGCTTCACTTCGCCCATAGCCCAAGCAGTAAAAGCCGCAAGGCAAGAGCACTGAGCTCTAAACAACTGAAGAATCAGTGTGAAAATACAGCATTCATCTGGGGGGAAGATTATTTGATTTTAAAAAGGTTTCTTAATTTATAAAGAATGTTAGACTTACACATCTCACAATAGTTTTTATCATGCCATCGGCGCTGAGCGTCTCTAGTCCACGATCTAAGGTCTGACACTGGACAAAGCCATCAGATGCCTCGGAAAACATGCACCCGTTTGTCATGACAATTTAAGACTCTATGGAATGCTGTATTACAATTTACCATTGATTTTAAGACGTAAATTTGCTGCATGAAAGCAGACGTGTCCAAAAAAGTATTGCTCAGCTCAAACCTAAAAGGACAGAGATGCAAGATTACAGCACTGAGATGCAGATCCTGGCTCCAAGCCCTTTCTTAGGAACCAGCTTTCACTATGCCTTGGGCTTTTGGTCTATCAGTATCTAATGAAAGATGACAGTGCAGGCTGCCTTGGGGGCTAACGTGGGCAATTTCAGTTCTGGCATTTTAGTTTATCTTTAACCAGCAGTTTTCAAAAGGGTAGAGCTAAAAAAGAACTTGGCTTGGTCTCACACACACACACACACATAAAGGGAAAGTTGTGACATAAAATGCATGAGGAGGTTTTTTTTCATTTTAACTCCCTGAGATCCTGTTTCACAGGCAGAACAGCAAAGCAATGTCTGCATTGTTTTACAAAGAATTAACCCTATAAACCTGGAGCCTGGTTTTTAGCTAGATGAAGTGGTTTCCTCCATGTTTTATGAATGTTAGTTTTAGTGCTGACAACATCTACTATATTCCGGACAGTAAAGGGCTCGACTTCTACAGTTTATTAATCCCCAAAGTTACATTCAAATGCTGTAATGTTAAAGGGTTGGCTTAGGATCGCCAAAGGCAGTAAATCCAGAACTAAAGGTGGCTAGTTCATCTTTTACTCATCATACTTTGCCCAGAAGTATTGCGGAGGGCAATGCGTCCCTTCATTATGCAGATGTGAGTCCCATTCATACTGTGCACATGTGTAACCGCCGTTAATGGGAGCTGTGCTTCTGCACTGTTGGGAGAATAGATTCATCATGTCAAAACCTCCGTAGCTCAATGTTTGTTACTTAAACACAACGGAGAGAGCGAAGCAAATTGTGTGTGTGTGTGTGTGTGTGTGAAATAGGAGATTATGATGCAACCATCAGAGCTGACGCATACATAGTCCATAGCGGGTACTGCTGAAAACAACTATGATCATTTCTTGCCTGTGACTCATAACTAGATTCTGACACTGAATTTAACTTCTTTGTTGGCATTTTTGATTTGCACGCAGTTTACTTGCTCTAACATTCTGGATAACATCAACACACCAACTTGCTTCAATGCTTTTTTTTCAGTGACAGTCCAATCTGTCAGAAGGCCTGCAGGCAAAGTGGACTTGTATTGCAAAAACTTTTTTCCAGGTTTGAATGGGTTAAAGATTTTGTTGTTATTAATATCATTATTTCCATGGAAGAATTTCACTTTGCCTTTTTCCCCCTGCTGCCTCAAGAGGACTCGGCGATTCTAGGCACAACTACAGCAGATGGTTTTGGTGATGTGAAGCACAAGGGTATCGCTCCCAGGAGCTGGTGAGGCAGTTAAGTTAAAAATGAACTGATGCATGCAGCATGCCATGTCCCCTTTTTTGGCCTACTTCAGACTGTTTCCTTTCGTACGCTCACCAGCGAAAGCACTGTTGTATAAGCAGAAAGCTTGAGGTACAGGCTAGTATTGCTCTACATTTTCTTCCGTGATTTACAGGGTATTTATTGCTTATTACAGGCCTGATCCAAAGCCTATTGAAATCAATGGGAGACTTCAAAATGACTTGAATGGACTTTGTATCAGGCCCCTTATATACGTAACAACTCATTGTTAGAGGGGAAAAGACCAAACATTTCCTTAAAGCAAGTTAAACACAAATCAGAAATAATAGTTACTGATTATTTCAACGAAACCTTCATGTGGTCTACAAAGGAATATTTAGATGCCATTAAATATAAGCTTTGACCTGCTAGAGAATAAAAAAATCCACTTGTTTATATAGTGTATTGTAAAACCTTAACCTTTTGTCCAAGGCAAATATTGCTGAAGTTGTTTGAGATCTGGAAAAGCAAATCAGTATTTTGTCAATATTAGTTTGATAAACAGAATTTGAGGAGAAAATATATTGCACATAGCGAATCAAAGCTGATTTCTCATAATTTCCTCAACATTATTTTCCTTGTTTGTTTTAGTGATCTGAAATCTAATATTATAGACAGCTTTAGATCAAATATAGGGTGATATTGTTTAGCAATTTCCACATATCTCATTCCTGGGGGCCTAAATAATAGATCTGACAATATTTTCTTTTCCAAGTTGCTGTGCAGAGTGGATCAGTTTTGTATTCTCTGATGATCTCACAGAAACAGTTCCACTAAAGAAACAGAAAATTATCCATACATTAGGTCTGTCTTGTGTTCAAAATCACAAGTTATGACCTGTTGACCTCCCATTCTAAAGGGAACTTGGGCATTTCTTTAACAAACTACCATGGAGGGGGGAGGTTTAATTTATGGTAAAATGGCACAGCAGAGCACTGATGCAATTAATAAGATGCTGCATGAGGGCAACGAAAATAAATAAAAAGCATGTTAAGTAAAATAAAGACACGTATGTTGAGTCTCTTATTTACATTTGTGAATGGCTCCATTTCTGAAATTGGGCACCCAGCAAATATTGTTTAAATATAAATAAAATGATATTTTTTCATTGTCTATTTTAAAATCAGTCCATTGTCGGCATCATTTTCTTCAAGCCAGTTATCTTAGTATTAACAATAATAAGTGATCTACTCATTTATATCTGCTCATTTATATCTATATCTGCTCATTTAAAACAAGCCAATGACACTTGCTGCTTAGACCCCCATGTCATTAAAAAAAAGCACTAAAAATCCATGTGACAACTGTTTTGTGAGTTAAGGTTTTACTGACAAACATCATAAATAGATAAAGCCCTGGTCAATTCCTTTTTCTTTCTAATAGTTAAGCCTCTTTTACATATACACAGATAATAACTAATTTAATTGACGCTGACATTTTAATGTCTAAGTATTAAACAAAAATAGGACAAGGGATATAATAAACATTAGCAGCCCTAATGGACCCGACGTATAACAATGGCCACTGAACTAAACATCTTGGACCAAATGTATCCCTGATGTAATTCAACTGGAGGCAGCAATGTTACACTGAGAATGGATTGGGCCCTTCTGGTTTTAATCAAGGTTTAGCCAGTGGCTGTTTGTGTTCTCCCAGGCAAATCACTGGATCTCTTGATCTTGTAGGCCACTGTGAATAAGGGTTTCTTACTACAACTGTAAACTCTCTCTCTCTCTCTCTCTCTCTCTCTCTCTTCCCTCACCCCTTGCCGCTTTTCTATGTGAATATTCTGCTGTGGTGCCGAGAAACTTGCCTCTTGGCTTAGACAACTAAATACAAATTTGCAGTTAACCTCAGTATTTGTGGCATTAAAGGTATTGGCTGTACAACTAAAAGGCAATGCTGCAGAAAGAGCTTAATCCAAGACCCAAAGAAGTCAGCACTGTATGCTACTGTGTATCCCTATACAGAGTGCAAATAATATATCTATATATCTATATATACACACATAGTTCAAAGCTATTCAAAAATAAGCCAGAACTTTTTTTTAACATCAGGAAAGCTGCCTATTTTTCAGTAATCTTGTTTTGAGAAATGACTGCGCCAGTTTTGCTCAAACTTCAGGCTAACATTTGTCAAAGTTATAAGCAATGGAAAACAAAGGGTTTATACTGGAAAATGTTAGGCAACCCGAACAATAGACACTGCTACTGCACCACCATTTCTCCTCTCTTTTATGCCAAATTTGGTGCAACTTCACTGACTTCTGATTTACACAAGCATATGGAAAATAAAAATCCAACCCATAATGGACCGCTATTATGCACAGAAGAGCTGAACCAAATTTTTCAAATTTTGAAATTTCAATAAAAAATTGAACATTCAAAATTAAAAACAGAAAAAGATGTGCTCATGTCTCCACCCCATAGTTAAACTACAATAAAATTTAGCAAAACCCTTTCTGAGAGAGAAACATGCCTCTATAACTTTCTCACCAGTCACAGGTCTTGCTTGCAACTAGTTTAGCAGTGGATCCAAACCCACAGTTTTCCTTTCACCATTGTTCCTTTTGCCATGTTTTTTGGTTCTTGTTATGTTGTCCCTCCTCACAAGCAACAGAGGAACTTGGATTAAACAGAAAATGAAAAATTCTAACCATGTCTGCAAAGCAGAGTGCAAGTTAAGAACTGGGTGATAACAAAATAAAAGGGAGAGCTTTGTAGCCGTTAAAGCTGGTCAAATCCACCAAATGCTCGAGAAACTGGAAACTGAATTATTGCCTCCATCTTAAATGCATGATGAGTTAAAAATATAGTCTTATTGTTTACTGCAGGAATCTCGCAAGCAGGGAAGAGTCACTGCAGAGTCATATGGCTGACTGCAAGATAAAAGATTAACAGTTAGATCCTCATCAGAAATGGCAATGAGAGTCTTGTTTAAAATGCCTACATAAAAGAAATCTCTTCTGACTGATTGCTGCATGTGTATTTAAAAGAAAGCCAACTACTGACAGGAACAAGCTAGCAGTAATTGAGTGTGCTTTAAATAACTATATTACTTTCTGCAACCAGGGATAACAAGTAAAAATCGTGGGGGGTGTGTGTGTGCGTACATGGCATATTTCAGCTTCAGGAAAAAGGCTATTAGGGAAAACTAGTAGACTGATAGATCAAGTTGCATCTTAGAATTTCTTCTGTTTGATTTCAGTGCCGCTACACAATGCAAATGAAATATCATGTGTATTGGAAACTACTTCCTTGTACAGTAACACATTTGCTACCACTATGGCTCTTATTTAAGCATTTGACTACAGTAATTGTTTTATACATTAACTGTACTCCCTGATGGTTGGTCTATTGTCTTTTTCCAAAATGGTGCTTGCAGAGATTAGCAGCTTGATTATTTGTTTTATTAACAATTTCAACACTGTGTCAGCATTGATTTGGAGAGCAGTGTGGTATTGCTAGGATTCAGTGGCATAGTTTGTTTAAAAAAAAAAAAAGCTTCACTACTTAGCTCACTGATTAGTGCTAACAATCTTCACTCAGGCAAAACTGCTCTTGAAGTCAATGGGACTCTTGATCTTGATTTTAGCTGCATGTTGAAAATACATCTGATCAAGACAGTTCACTGAGGATAAGCAACTGGAGACCAGAGCCAGAGCAAGGCAAAAGTCATTTGAGGAAAGCAAGAGTGAACTGCTGGGTTAGAAAGATGGACAGGGAAACACAGAAAGTCAGATGTCCAGGGATACACACACTGTGTATGTGAGTGAGTGTGTATATATACACACTCACACACACACACTGTGTATGTGAGTGAGTGTGTATATATACACACTCACACACACACACACACGCGCGCTCAAAAAAGACAGCCCAGTTTTCTCTAACTGTGAACTGATGCATTTGATAGGAAAGCAATTAATAATGCAAATAGAAAGCAGAGGAGAATGCAGGCAAGTAGATGCTAAGCAAGCAAACTGTTATAACTTTTGGGTCAGGGTCCTCAGCTCCTACACCACTGCAAATATAAAACTACATTACAAATGATCCAAAGCCCATTGAAGTCAATAGGAACCTTTCCATTGACTTCAATGGACTTGGATCAGCTGCTAAAATGATACGTTAGATTCCTGTGTTCTAACAACATAACACATTTGTTCATGTGTCATTTCTGCCAGTAAAAGTAAAATCAGAGTTTGGTGCCAGCTATTTACTATCTTCTATACATCTGTGAGGGCTTTCTTTCCAATTGAATTTCCTTTCTGTTGATGCTTGATGTTAATTACTGCATGGAAAGGAAGTGTTCTTTAAAAAAGACTGACTGACTCTTTAAATTCTTATAAATTATATGCACCTTCCCCTTTCTGACTGATAGATATATTGTTCAGCCACACCACCATCATGGCAATAAGTATATGTACTGTTATGGGTCATGAGTTTAAAAATTAAATCAAATGCAGAAATTGAGTCTTGACAGAATCTGAAGAGATAATGTCTTAGCTTCCCCAATTATGCAGTTCAACATTTGGATAAATCATATGAAAGTAAGTATTTAGCCCCATTTTTCATAATCGCTATTAATGAGAACAAAATGGGAGCTGAGGGCAGAGGGAGAGAGTTTTGACAAGATAAATAGAATATGAGGTGGTGTTGTCAGCCACAGAAAATCAATGCTGCTTAACCCCCTAAACAGCAGGGGGGAAATGCAGAGAAAAAAGAGGAACTGATCATGTGTCATTATTATTAACAATCTGTATGCCATGAAGTTTTCGAGTTGGGTGTAGAAAAATGGCTCAGAAGACAGCAATGTCAAGCGAATCCCTCCTGAGGAGTGGAGCTGACCACAAGGAGCTCATATATTTTGAACATTGCTGATTTTCTCTGTGCTTGGTGGCAAGTGGTGTTTTCAAACATGCTAAACAATCCGTTTTAAAACACCACTCATTTTCCTACTCTGGACAAGTGCCTATGGTTTTAGGACAGACTGCTCTAAATATCTTCCAGATCCTGCAGTGAGGAACGTAGTATAAAAACCTACATAGAATGGAACACAATAGACCTTCAGCACGAGGCTGTCTATTTACTTAAAGACAGTAACAACACAGAAGAAACTTACCTGCCAACCCTGTCTTTTTTATTTAGCATCCACACCAGGACACATCCTAAATATGCAGTGCTTGAATGAAGGATGGGGAGGTATAGGCTCTGCAGTCATTTTCTATCATTCTTTCCCATCTTTTCCCCCTTTTAATGCTGAACCACTTGAAACATCTTTGGGGAAATTATTCATGCAGAATCACTTAAGAAATGACACGTTTCTGAACTGAATTCATTTTTTGTCCATTTTGTCAGGTATCTAGCACTCACTGAGCCAAATCAGTTAGCTCTAATTGGCTTCAAGATCTGGACCCTGATACAGGCCTCTCTTTATATGAAAGATCAGCGCTCCACACCTGTACTAAGTTTGGTCTGCACCAGCACTTGTGTACTCTGTATCTGTACTTGTCTCGGGGAATATACAGTATATTTGCAAGGCAATTGCCTTGCTCAGATATAACAACTGGTTTCTAAAGTAACAGTACTCCAGTAACAACTCGGTTTTCAGTTAGAGCTTGTTTAGGATTCCTTTTGCCTAATGCCAAAGCTCAGAGGCTTAAGTATAAATAGCATCTGAGCCTCTGAGCTTTGCTATACAACAATAGGGATCCTAAACAAGATCTAACTAGAAACCAAGTTGTGTGTGTTGCTTCCTATCAGGAGACATATTCCTAGTACACAAACTACATTGTCACATTGCTGCATTGAATTACAATCACAACATCCCCATTAAAGTCGATGAGAATTTTGTCATTTTACACACACACCCTGTGCAACTCTGAAAATTGAGTTTATATTGTAAACCTCTGTTTTAAGCTATAAATACCCTGGCAACCCATGGGAGAAGGGACCATTTTGATATCTCATGCAACATTAGCAGCTAACAGATTAAGCACATGGGGCCTGAGAGATTATCTCCTTGACTCAGTATAAGCCAGGGATTCAAACAAACAGCTGGCTGTGTCCCCAAAAATAAAAACATTTGATTGTGGCAAGCTTCAAAGTGACTGGTTGACTCAGGGTGGGTTGGGTCTTTTTCTCCTTCTGGGTTAGAGATGCAGAGGGCAAAATGAACAGGGAAACAAAACCAAAAGATACCACCCTCTTCCAAAAGTCAGGAAAGCAAGTAAAACAGCCCCAGAACATATGGAGGAATCAAGTGTGGGGTCCCCTGTAGGTTTCAGTTGTGCAAGTAATATTAATCCGGGGGGAGAGAGGGTCTTGGGGGCTGAGATCAAAAGAGCCATTCCCATTTCTGTAGGGAAAAGGAGAGCTTTGATGTCACAGAATCTTCCCTGCACCGCTTAATGAACTGAAATTGTGACACAGTGACATCCTGGAAGATTTGAATGCACTTAGCACAATGACACATCTTTGGGTTAGCTTTCTTTTTAAAAAAAAAAAAAAAAAGAAGAGCCTTCTTTATGACCCAGCCTGCAAAAAGGAATGGGGGCAGGAATTGACTATTACGTTTAAATATGGATAAGGGAGCCAGAGAGGGCTTTAGGCAGTGACAGGCGAGCGTTTTAGTCTGGATCACATAAAGGATGTCACACTCCCATGCAAGTTAAAGAATACCAGCGCCACTGAAGATCTGACTCAGGCAGATCAGATAAAGCTGTAAACAAGAAGGGAAGTGGCATAAACTTTCTCACCAGCCCTGTAACATAAAGAGGGGGAGACAAACATGTATTGGACTGGATAGCAGGCCAGATCCTGCAATCCTTGCTAAGGTCAAAAGACAGGTTATCCAAGATCAGAGTGAACTGTGCACTAGACTTCACATTCCATATTTTCCAGCATCCAGCTCATGTCAATGGAGCCTTTATTATTATTATTATGATACACATACACACCCACACAAAGGGCTTGATGCTGTGCCCACTGAAGTCAATGATAAAGCTCCCACTGATCTCAATGGAACAGGATTAGGCACAAAAGGGATTTCTGCTTAGGTGGTTAACTAGAAGCCCAATGAGCCCAGAGCATATTGGCCTCTTTGCATTGAGAGTGCAGTGATGGTGTCTTGTATATTTCCACTCTGTTCTCACTGCAGAGAACATGCCCACACCGAGTGATATTTTTCCATGTATCAGTCAGATTCCAAGCGTTTACTGATTGCCTGTGACAATCTCTCTGGCTCTAGGCTGGCAAATACCAAGTCTCAGTTTGGGCCTGTGGCAGCAAAGCCCCCCGCAGAGAAGGGCAGGGGGAAATATTAAACAATGAGAAGTCAGCCAGGAAATGTTCAGCAGGTGGGGAAATGTTTCCGATAGAACTTTTCCTTACATGGATTTTTCATCCTGGCCAATGCAGCAAGGAAAGAGTCTGAATGGTTTAAAAAATCCCTCTCAACAAAACCCTATCAAAACAAAACACTCCATACACAATTTTCTCACAATGAGAGAAAGAACAAACCTCACATGACAGATGTAAGCTATATTACTTAATGGACAACTGGAAAGCGCTCAGATACTATGGTCATAAGAATAGTAGAAGAACCAACAGAATAGAATTGAATAGATTAGAAGAGAACCTTGATGAATTTCACAATGAGAACCCAGAAGCAGCCAGGGAGTCAGAAAAGGAGGAGTGGATTTGATTTTAAGGACAACTTTTCTGGTTTAATTGCAATAGCATTACAATTCCGTATTTACAGGAGGTAAATACCAGGCTATATAATATTATAGTCTGTGGGAATCTTTTTCCTTACATCCATTAGGTAAGGTTTTAATTCATATGGGGAGAGACAGAGTTGCCACTGAAAAAGAGGAAATAGAATGTGAGCCATGGATTTTTTTTCCTGTTTTCAAGTCTGCAGCTGTAAAATCCGTAGGGATTTCA